TGTGTGATGTGTTGGGCTGTGTGTGATGTGTTGGGCTGTGTGTGATGTGTTGGGCTGCGTGTGATGTGTTGGGCTGCGTGTGATGTGTTAGGCTGTGTGTGATGTGCTGGGTTGTGTGTGTTGTGTTGGGCTGTGTGATGTGTTGGGCTGTGTGTGGTGTTTTGTGTTGGGCTGTGTGTGATGTGTTGGGCTGTGTGTGTTGTGTGTTGGGTTGTGGGTTGTGTTGGGCTGTGTGTGATGTGTTGGGCTGTGTGTGATGTGTTGAGCTGTGTGTGTTGTGTTGGGTTGTGTGTGTTGGGTTGTGGGTTGTGTTGGGTTGTGTGTGGTATTTTGTGTTGAGCTGTGTGTGATGTGTTGGGCTGTGTGTGGTATTTTGTGTTGAGCTGTGTGTGGTGTTTTGTGTTGGGCTGTGTGTGATGTGTTAGGCTGTGTGTGATGTGCTGGGTTGTGTGTGTTGTGTGCGTTGTGTTGGGCTGTGTGTGATGTGTTGGGCTGTGTGTGGTGTTTTGTGTTGGGCTGTGTGTGATGTGTTGGGCTGTGTGTGTTGTGTGTTGGGTTGGGTTGTGGGTTGTGTTGGGCTGTGTGTGATGTGTTGAGCTGTGTGTGTTGGTTGTGTTGTGTTGGGCTGTGTGTGGTATTTTGTGTTGAGCTGTGTGTGATGTGTTGGGCTGTGTGTGTTGTGTTGGGCTGTGTGGTATTTTGTGTTGAGCTGTGTGTGGTGTTTTGTGTTGGGTTGTGTTGTGTGATGTGTTGGGCTGTGTGTGATGTGTTGGGCTGTGTGTGTTGTGTTGGGCTGTGTGGTATTTTGTGTTGAGCTGTGTGTGGTGTTTTGTGTTGGGTTGTGTTGGGCTGTGTGTGGTATGTTGGGTTGTGTTAGGCTGTGTTTGATGTGTTGGGTTGTGTGTTGTGTTGGGCTGCGTGTGATGTGCTGGGTTGTGTGTGTTGTGTTGGGCGGTGTGTGATGTGTTAGGCTGTGTGTGATGTGCTGGGTTGTGTGTGTTGTGTGCGTTGTGTTGGGCTGTGTGTGATGTGTTGGGCTGTGTGTGGTGTTTTGTGTTGGGCTGTGTGTGATGTGTTGGGCTGTGTGTGTTGTGTGTTGGGTTGGGTTGTGGGTTGTGTTGGGCTGTGTGTGATGTGTTGAGCTGTGTGTGTTGGGTTGTGTTGTGTTGGGCTGTGTGTGGTATTTTGTGTTGAGCTGTGTGTGATGTGTTGGGCTGTGTGTGTTGTGTTGGGCTGTGTGGTATTTTGTGTTGAGCTGTGTGTGGTGTTTTGTGTTGGGTTGTGTTGTGTGATGTGTTGGGCTGTGTGTGATGTGTTGGGCTGTGTGTGTTGTGTTGGGCTGTGTGGTATTTTGTGTTGAGCTGTGTGTGGTGTTTTGTGTTGGGTTGTGTTGGGCTGTGTGTGGTATGTTGGGTTGTGTTAGGCTGTGTTTGATGTGTTGGGTTGTGTGTTGTGTTGGGCTGTGTGTGGTATGTTGGGTTGTGTGTGATGTGTTGGGCTGTGTGTGGTATGTTGGGTTGTGTTGGGTTGTGTGATGTGTTGGGTTGTGTGTGTTGTGTTGGGCTGTGTGTGGTATTTTGTGTTGAGCTGTGTGTTTTGTGTTGGGTTGTGGGTTGTGTTGGGCTGTGTGTGGTATGTTGGGTTGTGTGTGATGTGTTGGGCTGTGTGTGGTGTGTTGGGCTGTGTGTGGTATGTTGGGCTGTGTGTGGTATGTTGGGTTGTGTTGGGTATGCTGGGTTGTGTTGGGCTGTGTGTGGTATGTTGGGTTGTGTGTGATGTGTTGGGCTGTGTGTGGTATGTTGGGTTGTGTGTGATGTGTTGGGTTGTGTGTGGTATGTTGGGTTGTGTTGGGTTGTGTGATGTGTTGGGTTGTGTGTGTTGTGTTGGGCTGTGTGTGGTATTTTGTGTTGAGCTGTGTGTGTTGTGTTGGTTTGTGTGTTGTGTTGGGCTGTGTGTGGTATTTTGTGTTGAGCTGTATGTGGTGTTTTATGTTGGGTTGTGGGTTGTGTTGGGCTGTGTGTGGTATGTTGGGTTGTGTGTGATGTGTTGGGTTGTGGGTTGTGTTGGGCTGTGTGTGGTATGTTGGGCTGTGTGTGGTATGTTGGGTTGTGTGATGTGTTGGGTTGTGTGTGTTGTGTTGGGCTGTGTGTGGTATTTTGTGTTGAGCTGTATGTGGTGTTTTATGTTGGGTTGTGGGTTGTGTTGGGCTGTGTGTGGTATGTTGGGCTGTGTGTGATGTGTTGGGCTGTGTGTGGTGTGTTGGGCTGTGTGTGGTATGTTGGGCTGTGTGTGGTATGTTGGGTTGTGTTGGGTATGCTGGGTTGTGTTGGGCTGTGTGTGGTATGTTGGGTTGTGTGTGATGTGTTGGGCTGTGTGTGGTATGTTGGGCTGTGTGTGGTATGTTGGGTTGTGTTGGGTTGTGTGTTGTGTGGGGCTGTGTGTGATGTGCTGCGTTGGTGGTGTTAAAGGGGAGATCTGAGTCTGTCTGATGAGCCTGTCAGGGTCTGATCTAATGAGGACTCGTATGGTTTATCCTATGTGCTCATTTTTAGAAGCTGTTCAGATAAACATGATGTGTCTGTCAGACTCGACTCAGAATAGACTCAGAAGTGGGTCAGACTCACTGCCGCTCACACAGCCACACACAGCTCACCGACTCAGCCTCTTAATCTGATCCTTAATTCTGGCTTTATTTCCTCTGCTCGTTATCTCTAATCAGACATCACCCCAGTCTGTATCAGTAAACTGATCTGATCGGCTTTATCAGACATACAGGATTACTGACTCATTAAATTCCCCCATAATTCAGTGTGTGAGATGTAAACAGAGTCATTCAGAGTGGTTTGGTGTGAAATGGTTCAGATGTCTTTACAGTGGTGGTGATAGGAACCAGGGGTCGCCATGACTACAACACAGATATAGACATTTTATTTACTATCCAGAACCACCAGTGAACCTACACGAGTCTTCTGAGCTTATATGGAATGTTGATGATGGAAAATAGTGGAAAATCTGAAATAAGTTTTCTTTGGGGACTATTTTGCCTCACAGCGCCCTGCATGTATCCCTCCACCATGAATGGAGTTTAAAAATATGGGCATTGTACACTATGTGGCCAAAAGTATGTGGACTCCCCTCCTGAGTTCAGGTGTTTCATTGCTAACAGGTGTATAAAATCAGGAACATAGCCTTGCAGTCTCCATAGACAAACAGTGGCAGCAGAATGAGTCGCACTGATGAACTCAGTGACTTTAAACATGGCTCCGTCATAGGATGAAACCTCTGCCACGAGTCGGTCTGTGTAATTTCTGTCCTGCTAGATCTGCCCCAGACAACTGTAAGAGCTATTATTATGAAATGGAAGCATCAAAAGCTCAGCCACCGAGTGCTGAAGCGAGTAGAGAGTAAAAATGCCTTTCCTCTGCTGCCTCACTCACTGCTGAGTTCCAAACTGCCTCTGGAAACAACATCAGCACAAGAACTGAGCATCAGGATCTTCATGAAATGGGTTTCCATGGCTGAGCAGCTGCACACAAGCCTAAGATCACTGCGCAATGCCAAGCGTCGGCTGGAGGGGTGTAAAGCGCCGCCACTGGACTCTGAATCAGTGGAACCGTGTTCTCTGGAGTGATGAATCAGCTTCTCCATCTGTCAGTCTGATGATGAATCTGGGTTTGGTGGAGAGAACGTCAGGAGAACGTTACCTACCAGTATGCGGAGAAAACAGTAGAGTTTGGTGGAGGAGTGATAAACAGTAAAGTTTGGCTGAGGAGGGATAAACAGTAGAGTTTGGTGGAGGAGGGATAAACAGTACAGTTTGGTGGAGGAGTGATAAACAGTAGAGTTTGGTGGAGGAGGGATAAACAGTAGAGTTTGGCTGAGGAGGGATAAACAGTAGAGTTTGGTGGAGGAGTGATAAACAGTAGAGTTTGGTGGAGGAGGGATAAACAGTACAGTTTGGTGGAGGAGGGATAAACAGTAGAGTTTGGTGGAGGAGGGATAAACAGTAGAGTTTGGTGGAGGAGGGATAAACAGTTTGGTGGAGGAGAGATAAACAGAGTTTGGTGGAGGAGGGATAAACAGAGTTTGGTGGAGGAGGGATAAACAGTACAGTTTGGTGGAGGAGGGATAAACAGTACAGTTTGGTGGAGGAGGGATAAACAGAGTTTGGTGGAGGAGGGATAAACAGTACAGTTTGGTGGAGGAGGGATAAACAGTAGAGTTTGGTGGAGGAGAGATAAACAGTAGAGTTTGGTGGAGGAGTGATAAACAGTAGAGTTTGGTGGAGGAGGGATAAACAGTAGAGTTTGGTGGAGGAGGGATAAACAGTAGAGTTTGGTGGAGGAGGGATAAACAGTAGAGTTTGGTGGAGGAGGGATGATGGGCTGGGCTGTTTTTCAGGGTTTGTGCTCTCAGTTCCAGTGAAGGGTGATGTTGATGCTGCAGCACAAAGACATTTTACACAGTTCTCTGCTTTCAGCTTTGTGGCAGCAGTTTGGGGAAGAGCCTTTCCTGTTCCAGCATGACTGAGCCCCTGTGCACAAAGCAGCTCCATAAAGACATGGAGTGACCAGTTTGGTGTGGAGGAACTCCAGTGGCCCTCACAGAGCCTGACCTCAACCCCACTGAACACCTTTGGGATGAACTAGAACGGAGATTGTGAGCCAGACCCTCTCGTCCAACATCAGTGTCTGACCTCACAAACGCTCTTCTGGATGAATGGACACAAATTCCCACAGACTCTCTCCGAAATCTTGTAGAAGCTTCCCGTAAGAGTGGAAGCTGTTATGAAAGGGGACCGAATCCATATTAATGCCTATAGTTTTAGAATGGGACATCCAACAAGATCATATAGGTGTGATAATCGGGTGTCCACAAACTTTTGGCCACGTAGTGGATGTTCACCGTGTTCTCTGTATATTCAGAGGAAGTTCTGTTTTTTAATGGATTTGAATGTTTAACTGTGTTGTGACTCTGTATACTCTGTGTTCCCTGTGCAGATCCTGATGTGTTGAGGCGCTGATATGGCTCAGACGCTGCAGATGGCCATCCCCAACTTCGGAAACAACGTCCTGGAGTGCCTGAACGAGCAGCGGCTGCAGGGGCTCTACTGCGACGTCTCCGTGGTGGTCAAGGGACACACGTTCAAGGTAGGAGTGGCCGATGCATTAAAGTTACTGGCCCTTATTTATCAGAATAAACGAGCGCAGACTTAACCGTCCCGAATGACGTACGAACGACTCCGTGTCTGACTCAGGAAACTGTCGTAGGTGATCAGAGGTCGTGAAAACAAGTACCTTATTTACATATCATTTACATATCATTTTATATAATATGATGGAATTCAAGTAGATGTTTCAGTAATGAGCTAATAAATCATGAGCAACCAGCAACTCATCAGTGGAATTTAGGGGTTGAGGTGCTCCCTCTACTGGCCGGAGCTAGAAGTGGTAGTAGAATTATTGTGATTATTTTATTGAAAACGTAGTCATTATTTAGAGTATTATAGTATTGCATAATAAAAACATAGTACTGCAGTATATGAGCTTCTGCTGTACTAGCCAAGCTGTGTCAGCAGGGTAGTAGTAGTAGAAATTTATTTCAGTTCTTGTTTCTAAATTTCCAAAATAAATACATAGAAAGAGCTAAAAAATAAGGTCTTAAATTAATAGCAAAGACAAACAAAACAAAAAATATAGACCAAAAAGGTTTAGGCTGAAGCTTTAGCTTATTTTGTCTCCCCTTTATACCTAACATATTCTAATAGACGATGGTTTTACTAGCAGGTATTAAGTAGGTAGTATAAAGCAAAAGCTTTTAAATAGATCATAGTGTTTGTTTATATCAATGTGCATGTAAAAATAAATATCTCCACTTTAGTACAGGAGTTACTAAGTGCAGTTATTAGTATTGTCTGTTGTTTTCTGTTTTTTTATGTTATTGCTGATATTATTGATGTTATTAGCAGTAATTTTGATCATTTAATCACAAATCAGACTTTTTTTGTTGATTTCAGGCTGTTAAAATATTCCGCTCTAATTGAAACACTCCTACTAGTACATATACGCAAGTGGCGGAATTCATAAATAATAAAACTGTCCGTGAATTTTGTGTTCACTAATTTTATGATTTTATGATTATGAACTGCATATTAACCAGTAACTGATTGGATGGCAGCCCTTTACGAGGTCACCTTATTATGTTACTTTCATTACATTTCTTAGATTTCAGTTCGTGCAAACATTAAATGTAAAAATGTAAACATGTACCGGCCTGTTTGAAACGTGGAGCTGCTGATTTGTTTGTTAAAACCTCTGAAAAACAAAATACGGAGATCATGAACACGTCTTCAGGTGTCCCCTATGTTCTCTCCAAGGCCCACCGCGCCGTGTTGGCCGCCAGCAGCTCCTACTTCCGCGACCTCTTCAACTCTGGCGCCAAAAGCTCGGTGGTGGAGCTGCCGCCGGCCGTGCAGCCGCAGAGTTTCCAGCAGATCCTGTCCTTCTGCTACACGGGGCGGCTCAGCATGAACATCGGGGATCAGTTCCTGCTCATGTACACGGCCGGCTTCCTGCAGATCCAGCAGATCATGGAAAAGGGAACCGAGTTCTTCCTCAAAGTCAGCTCCCCCAGCTGCGACTCGCAGGGTCTGCACACGGAGGAGATGCCACCTTCTGAGCCCCAGAGCCCAGTGGGCGGAGCTATGGGAGGGGGCGTGGTCGCCACGGCACCCGGACGCCCCGCCTCCTGCCTCACTCCGCTTTCGTTGGTGTCGAGGGTGAAGACGGAGCAGCCGCAGCAACAGCAGGAAGGGTCTCCGTACTCAGTGGTCTGCACACCGGTCGCTAAACGGCTTTGGGAGGGGGGCAGCCGAGAAGGGGGCGGGGGGGCAGGAGGAGGTGGAGGAGGGGGAGGGATGAGGAAGGCCCCACGCTTCTCACAGGAAGTAGCGCGAGGTATGCCTCCTCAGGGTGCGGCGATGTTGGGTGGAAGCGTGGCGGCTAACAGCAACAACAACAACAATAACAGTAGCAGCTGCGGGGGGGCTAGCGGTGGGGGCACTCCGGAGGGCACCAGCCCGGCCACGCTGAGCATGTACACCAGCGACTCACCCATCTCCTACCACGACGACGAGGAAGAGGAGGAACTCGCAGACGAAACGGCTGAAGATCAGTACAGGCAGATCTGCAACATGTACACCATGTACAGCATGATGAACGTGGGGGCTGCAGGTAAGACAGACAGACAGACAGATAGTGTACATACATCACTCACCTGTGCTCTGTTGATTCCACCTGTCATATAAACAGTGGCCTGAATAAAGCTATTAAATAGAGTTCAGTACAAAACTTAAACGGGCCTAGAATTGAGCCCTGTGGAACACCATCAGCAAACACAACGTTGTAGACTGTTTACAGCACTTACACTATTTACACTGTTATTATTTAATTAATATTAATAAACAAATGTGGAGCTGCTGCTGCTGTTTTCTCTGCCGTGTGCACTGACACAGTAAAGGAGCAGCAGGTAAACATGTTTAAGTGAAGATCATTGATTTAAAATGTGGTCAGTTTGGTATTTTTAGAGTTTTAAATGTTCATAAACTCCATCATACCTTAAACTCAGCTCATTAAAAAGCTTCGCTCCACATGTGAAACACTTTTCACCATTCATCTTTGTTTACTTGCTGTATTTTCTTCTTTCGTGCTCTCAGTTTTCATTGGCTGTTGGAGGAGTCTGTTCAGACTGAGCCGTTGACCAGTTTACTCTAGATTGCACTCAGAGTCGGGTCGAAAAATCAAACGTTTGATAAACTCTGACTGCTCTGAAACGCGATCGGGAGGCAGTAAATCTGAGTCTGCGCCCCTCAGACACGACTCGACTCTCTCTCCAACTGTCGACTCAGACTGACCCAAAAATCTGCAGACTAGAGTCGACCAGCTCAGACTCAGACTGAGAATTAGGGTTAAAATCAGGGTAAAAGTCAGGCAGTGTGACCCTGGATTAACCAGACTTTTGGGCCGTTTATCATGAAATCGGCACACTATGTGAAGATTTTCAAAAAACTATGCCAAAAACCAAAAAACAACAAAAGTGAAGATGGAAGGTTTTGTTCATATTTATATTTTCTTTTTTAAGAGATCACAGATTCACATACACCAAAGTGGGGCTTGACTGACAGTGAACCACTGACTGACTGACGCTTGTTTTGTGTTTAAACTGTTTATTTACCAAAATATCGTCTTTAGCTTTAATAGTCACTTAGTCGAACCTTCGAACCTTCTTCTCGAAGTCCTGTCTTGGTTGGTGGGATGCGCTTTTCTCACCGAGCGCTCACGTCCTTCTCGAGTAATGATCTAAACAGCTCTGAGTCAGTTTTAAAACGTTATCCTGTGTGATCTGAGCGGTCAGTGCTGTCCTCCTGTTTAAGGCTGATGCTGTTCGGTTCTGAACGTTCTTCTGTGTGTTCCAGCTGGAGAGCGGGTGGAGTCCCTGCCGGACCACCTGACCGTAGAGTCGAGAGGCAGAGGGGTCCGGGTGCGTCCAGAACTCTCCTCCCTGCCGACGGAGCTGATCTCCCAGATTGGGAACCGCTGCCACCCCCGGCTGTATGAGGAGGGCGACCCGGCGGAGAAGCTGGAGCTGGTGAGCGGAACCAGCGTCTTCATCTCCCGCGCGCAGCTCATGAACTGCCACGTCAGCGCCGGGACCCGGCACAAAGTCCTGCTGCGCCGCCTGCTGGCCGCGTTCTTCGACCGGTACGGCGCAGTGAGCCGATCTGCACACACGGAGCTCACGGCAACACGAGCGTTTATGTGTTTATAATGAGTTATAATGAGATTAATTACCTTAATGAAATGATTATGGTTTAATAGACAGAAGTATATACACGTGATTTTGTGCATATACTTTATTACGTTTTTAATTAAACCTCTATAAATAATTTCTTGGTGTCTAGAAACGCTCTAAACCATCTGTCTTAAAGTTTTACGTCCACACTGTGAGGATTATTGAATTATGAAATATTTCAGACTTCTGAGTCGTAGTGTGTTTCACCAGGTGTGAACAGCTGAAGGTTTGAAATTACTGCTCTCTGTGTGTTATTTTTTATAATGTATTATTATTATTGTTATTAATATTATTATTATCTGTTCTCCTCCCTCATTTCTCTCTCTCTCTCTCTCTCTCTCTCTCTCTCTCTCTCTCTCTCTCCTCTCTCTCTCTCTCTCTCTCTCTCTCTCTCTTTAGGAGTACTCTGGCTAACAGCTGTGGGACGGGGATTCGCTCGTCCACCAACGACCCCAACAGGAAACCTCTGGACAACAGAGTCCTCCACGCAGTCAAGTGTGAGTGACCTCAACCTAACCTTACCTGACAATAACCTGACCTCACCTGACATCAACCTGACCTCACCTGAAATCAACCTGATCTCACCTGACAATAACCTGACCTCACCTGATGTCAAGCTGACCTCACCTGACAATAACCTGACCTCACCTGACAATAACCTGACCTCACCTGACAATAAACTGACTTCACCTGACAATAAACTGACCTCACCTGACATCAAGCTGACCTCACCTGACAATAACCTGACCTCACCTGACAATAAACTGACCTCACCTGACATCAAGCTGACCTCACCTTGAATCGGACTGACCTCACTTGAAATCAACCTGACCTCACTTCACATCACCGACTTCAACCTGATATCAGCTTAATCTCACCTGACATTACCCTGACCTCACCTGACAATAACCTGACCTCACCTGAAATCAACCTGACCTCACCTGAAATCAACCTGACCTCACCTGACAATAACCTGACCTCACCTGACATCAGCTTGACCTCCCTGAAATCAATACATTTATCAGATGTTTATGATTGAATGTAAGGGGATCATAAACATCTATAATAGAAGATCTGGACCTGTTTTACTCGCCGTATCCACAACTGTCAGTTTCAGTGTTTTATACAGAAAAAATTCAGAATTATACAAAAATAACCGAATTGTAGAGAAATTTACATTGAAAGGTTTCTTACAGAATCAAATTGAATTGAATCGTATGGAGATCTGAGATTTACTGATGTATTGAGTCGTGTGTAAAGAATCAAACTGAATCACACAGTTGTGAATTAACACTGTTCCTCAGCAGGTGTTGTGAAGTTTTGTTGTGAACTGTTTGATCTGTGTTATTTATCTGTTATTTTTTCTGTGTTATTTTTCTGTTTTATTCTGTTTTATTTCTGTTTTATTTTTCTGTATTATTTTTTTTGTGTTATTTATCTGTATTTTCTCCTCTTTTCCTCCAGTTTACTGTCAGAACTTCGCGCCGAGCTTTAAGGAGAGCGAGATGAACGCGATAGCGGCCGACATGTGCACTAACGCCCGCCGCGTGGTCAGGAAGAGCTGGATCCCCAAACTGAAGCAGCTGATGGCCGAGAGCGACGCCTACGCTAACCTCTTCCCCGACGCTAACAAGCCGGAGGCCGACGCCCTGGGGGCGGAGCCTGCGTTTGACGCGCCCGTCGTGGAGGGCGGGCCGTGCTCAGACGGCGCCTCTGCTGAGGCGCTGCAGGGCGTGGGCGGAGACGTGTTTTAGTGAGTGCGGTCGCCATGGCGACGGCTCCGATCCTCTCTTCCTTTTCATCAGTCCATTTTTTCCAACGATGCAAAGCATCACTGTGTATGCTACTGAACCAGACTGGAGAGAGAGAGGGCGGAGCGGAGGGAGAGGGGGCGTGGCTTAAATAAATAAAAGGTCAGTTTTTTCTTTTTTTAGGTGAAATGCTGGATTTCTCTCTCTGCTCTCATTCTTTTGAGTTAAGCACACATTCCCAAAGAGGGGGCGGGGCCAAAGAAGAGTTTAAGAGGCAGGACCAGAGAAGAAGGGTGTGTTAAAATAGGAGGGGCGGGACTAGCATGGGCGGGGCCAGTGAGAAAGCAAGCACTTTATTGGTCTGTAAACACTGTCTGTCTCCATCATGAATGTATCTGTCCAGAAAGTTCTGTCAGCTCGCTGGCCTCGGGATTTATACAGAAGATGGAGGGGAATTCCACCAGATTTTCAAAATCCCCCCGTAATTCAGTGGTTGAGATTCAGAGTGGTTTGTGAAATACTTAAAAGACAGACATTTTATTTACTATCCAGAACCACCAGTGAACCTACACGAGTCTTCTGAGTCTATATGGAATGTTGATGATGGAAAATAGTGGAAAATCTGAAATAATCAGTTTTCTTTGGGGACTATTTTGCCTCACAGCGCCCTGCATGTATCCCTCCACCATGAATGGAGTTTAAGTTCTCAAAACTATCATAAAACAGTGTCTCAGTCATCAGGCAGTGAATTCATAACCATTTCATAATCCGTTTACATCTTCACCACTGAATTATGCAGAAATTTTAAAAGATCGGTGGAGTTCCCCTTTAATGTGTGACTATTTACTTTGTTTTGTTTTTTAAAACTTTTCTTCCTTTGTTTTGTAGTGTGTTAGTGTGTGTTAGTGTGTGTTAGTGTGTGTTAGTGTGTGTTGGTGTGTGTGTTACTGCTGTAAAGAGCAGAAACACCACAGCCGGTAGTTCCGGTGCTGTTGGAGCTGCTGTGTGTTCTGGATCAGAGTCACAGTGAAGGTTCTGCAGTCTCACTGTACAGATCAGTCAGGCTCATCCTGGATTACATCCTCCGGAACATCTCTGAAGGAAACTCACGGAATCTTTTTCTGTCCAGTTCCTCACATCACTCACAGAGTCACTCCGACAGGGATGTATGGGTGGATAGATGGAGCAGTGAATGGGTGGAAGGAATGGATGGACAGACAGATGGACGGATGGGTGGATGGGAAAGAACACTTGAGAAGAAGGAGTGTTCAGAACAAGCAGGTTAAAAACAACAGAGAGAAAGAAAAAATGAGGATAGAGAAAAGGGAAAAAGAGTAAAAGAAATGGAGAAAAATGAAGGAGAAAGCGAGAGACTGAGAGAAAGGAGAAGGAGATGGAGAGAGAGCAAGAGAGACAATGAAAGGAAAAAAAGATAGAGTACAAGTAGAAGAAAGGAGAGAGAGAGAAAAGGGAAAGAGCAATAGAGAATAAAAGGAGAAGAAAAAAGGAAACAAAGAAGAAAGAGGAGAGGAGAGAGAGGAGAAGACGGCAAAGAGAATGAGAGAGACAGACAGAGAGAGGAGAGAGAGAAATAGAGAGATAGAGAGACAGAGAAAGAGAGATACAGAGTAAGAGAGGGAGAGAGTGAGAGAGAGGAAAGAGAGAGTGAGAGAGGAAAGAAAGAGAGGGAGAGAGAGAGGCTGTTTGACTGCAGGGACTGTACTGTAATATTCCCTCTTTAATGTTTGTGCTGATGAGACTGTCTGTGGTTCTGCAGGCTGTTTATAAACGTGCTGCTGCAGAACCAACAGAACATTTATATAAACAAATAAAAGAACAAAGATGTCTGAAATCAAAGCTGCTCTTCAAACGCTCAGATAAAAGAAGCTCAAGTTTTCATCCCTAAACAAACAAACAAACAAATAAATAAATCTCTCTGTATCTCAGACTTTAATGGCTTATATTTACTTTTCCTGCTTTTACTGATTTTTTATCTTTTTACATTAGTTTTAGGCAGGATTAGATAAGATAGACACTAATAACACAACATTAACTACGGAGGGAAGGATGGAGGGATAGCTGGATGGAGAGAGGGACACATGGAGAAAGTAAAGGAGGGAAGGATGGATGAATAAACGGATGATGGATGAGTGTTAAATGCACTGCAGACTCAGTAGTTAAAGAATGTATTTGTATTCTCTTTGCTGGAGTCGGTCCTGATGCTGACTCTGTGTGTTGCCATGGGTAACAGTGATGATGCTGTCTGAGTGGAGATGAGAGTCAGACCCCATGCCCCCCCCCCTCATATGAGCTTCATCACCGCTACACCCACACAGGTGACAAAGAATGACAGACAGTTTCATTTACAGCCACACGGGGGCAGCACAGCGACAGAAAAACAACCACAGCCTGATTCCCAGAAAATATTAGATTTATTTCATTTCCACGCTGACAGAAGCGACTCTGCCTGACCGAAAGGAGCTGAACTCCTCCTGAGAGGTGATCTGAGTCGTGGACAAGCTGCCGAATAGTCACGACTTTGAGGTTTCTTAGTAATGCAGTGTTTAGGAGTTTATTATTGTACTTTTTTAGACGCCAGTCTGCGTTTGCACTGATGTGTGTCAGTATAACTCAAATCAAACGTGACCCAAAGCAATACTGAAGTGCACCTGTAGCTAAATTAATGTGTTAAACACTGAAATCGCTGATTCTGGCCTTAATGTGGAGAGAATCTCTCTGAATCTGACACTTTAAAGGGGGACCTGGTGCTGGACTGTTTACTGTGGAGGTGGTGCTGAAGCAGAAAGCTCGTTTGGTGGTTTTTGGCTCTGTGAGCCGAATTTAGCTCCCTCTCACTCTGTGAGGCGACTGAAGACACGGTGGGATCTGATTGGTTACGCTTTAAAGCGATAGTTGGTGAAAAATCGGATTCCCACCTAAACGTAAATGTAGCCAATCAGCCACGACGTGTTTGGTGTCTTTAGTTTTAGCACTGGAGCTACGAGGCTAATGCAGCTACAATGTAATGGAAGCTACAACCCCACCAGTTAGCTTGTTAGCATGCGCGGCGTGACATGCTTTAACCGTAATACAGGGTCAGAAACGGCCAGATCACTTAACGACTCCTAACGGTCCGAGACACAGTGGACACAAGTTTCTGGTCAGCAGCTGCTTATTTAAATCCTCTGTTCCACATTAAATGGTGCGCATTCAGTTTTAGCTCTGGAGCTACATGGCTAAAGGAGCTAACGGAGCTAACAGAACTAAAGGAGCTACACGGCTAAAGGGGCTAACGGAGCTAACGGAGCTAAAGGAGCTAATGGAGCTACATGGCTAAAGGAGCTAACGGAGCTAAGGAGCTAATGGAGCTACACGGCTAAAGGGGCTAATGGAGCTACATGGCTAAAGGAGCTAACGGAGCTAACAGAACTAAAAGAGCTAACAGAGCTAAAGAAGCTACACGGCTAAAGGGGCTAAAGGAGCTAACGGAGCTAAAGGAGCTACATGGCTAAAGGAGCTAATGCAGCTACATGGCTAAAGGGGCTAACAGAGCTAACAGAACTAAAGGAGCTAACAGAGCTAAAGGAGCTACACGGCTAAAGGGGCTAAAGGAGCTAACAGAACTAAAGGAGCTAACAGAGCTAAAGGAGCTAACGGAGCTACACGGCTAAAGGGGCTAAAGGAGCTAACAGAACTAAAGAGCTAACGGAGCTACACGGCTAAAGGAGCTAACAGAGCTAACAGAGCTACGCGGCTAAAGGAGCTAACAGAGCTAACGGAGCTACACGGCTAAAGGAGCTAACCCGTAATAGAAGCTCACTGAGAGATTCTTATTCAGATTTTCCGTTCCACCTTAAAAGGTGTGGCAGCATGTTATCTTAGATGGTTGCTAAGGGATTGCTAGGCTGTTGCTATGGTGTCCAGGTGGTTGCTAAGGTGTTGCTAGGCTGTTGCTATAGTATCCCAGGTGGTTGCTGTGGTGTCCCAGGTGACTACTAAGGTGTTTGCCTGAGTAATCCAGGTGCTTGCAAAGGTGTTGTTTGGCCACCGCTATAGTATTCCAGGTGGTCGCTAAGGTGTTTGCTTGGCTGTTGCTATATTATCCCAGAGGGTTGCTAACGTGTTCCCAGGCTGTTGCTATGTTATCCCAGATGGTTGCGGAAGTGTTGTTGGCCATTACTACAGTATTTCAGGTGGTTGCTAAGGTGGTTGCTAAAGTGTTGTTGGCCATTACTATAGTATCCCAGGTGTTTGCTAAGGTGTTGCCAGGCAATTACTGTAGTATCCCAGGGGGCTGCTAAGGTGTGGCTTGGCCATTTCTGTAGTATCCCAGGTGGTTGCTAAGGTGTGGCTTGGCCATTTCTGTAGTATCCCAGGTGGTTGCTGATGCATCTGAAACGCCAGAAAGTAGCTGCTCCACTGTTTAAGGTGGAACGGGTGATTTAAGTAGGAAGCTGGTGAACAGGAAGCCACCTTCACTAACGCATTGGAGGCAAGTGTGCGATGATTTACACGTGCAGTGCAGTTAGCACAATGCTAATTGGTGGGGTATGAGCTTCCATTACTCGCTAGCTATGTTAGCCTCGTAGCTCCAGTGCTAAAACCTCAGACACCAAACACGTCCTGGCTGATCGTCCACATTTGAGGGAATTTGATTGCTTAACTGTCATTTTAATGTATTATTTTTGTTATACTTTGTTTTTATATGCACCCTTCTTTTTTAGCAGTGTTGATGCTACTCCCCCCGCCCAAGGCGGAGAGTGGGAGGGGCTAAGAGACGCTTTACGTCTCTCTAATCGATGAGAGGGGAGAGAGAAGAAAGTGGGTTTGGAGAATAATGTTTTTATAAGTATATATTTGGGGGGATTTCCCTGCTGCAGTGTTTATTATCTCCCTTTTCTCCTAATGTCTGCATTTCTGTGCTCAATAGCGACCTCTAGGCTCCTCAGGGGTCAAAACTCTACCGCTCTACTCTCAGCTCTATAAACCTACTCTACACTCAGCTCTATCAGTGCCCCGGACCACCAGAGACACACCCATGTATCTACCTCCCAACCTAGGCCTCAGCCACCCCCACCCGGCCCCACAGCCTAGAATTGGTCTCAGGACAGTGTTCTGTTTCGAAAAAGGCAATCCATCTGCAGAGCAGAACAGTTTTTAGAGCGTGATTTGGTTTGATAGCGCCCCCTAGTGGCTCGATTAGGCTTACGCTGCATTTACACCGCAGCAAAACTGATAACATCAGGTTGAAATTAGCTTCTTATTCTTAATTTAGGAATTGCATCTAATCTCCAGTTAGGAAAGCTTAAGCTACTCAATCAATGCCTAGCAACCGACCATATACCGCTCCCCAGTTTCAGTCTCCATTTCCCAAACGCTTTAGCCGAGCGCGCTAACGTTACTCCTCCTAATAAACAGACACACGTTCAGCTCCGTCTCCTCATTATTCACCACCATCACTGTAATATTTCATCATCAACATTAACACACGAAGGTGATCAGAGTTAGGAACGGTTATTCTGTAATAGCTAAGATGGTTCTGTAAT